ATATATATATATATATAGATTTTAACGACGCGTTAAATCACAGGAAAAAACACCAAATCAAAAATTCGAGTTTCTTTTTTAAATCTTCAGTACCGATAAAAAAAAACAAGATGCGGTTTTTGGAAAGTTGTCAGCGTTGGCCGCTAGTCAACCCTTTTGATGTACTTATCAGATGATTTTAGTTGAATAAATAAACCGATGTGTTTTTCTAAATGTTTTTTGCTCACAAGTCATGGGTTATCATATTTTTAATCTATTTTTATATTGATTGTTTTCGACTTACAGTATATTTAATTTCATTTCCTTTGTTTACAGTTATTTTTTTAGATATGGTAGTAAAACCTGTAGAGACCGAGGGAGTCGCTGACAACTTGGATTATTGTTCTACAGATGAGACACTGGCGGCTAGGGTTGGTTCAGCTCATAAGTGATGGATTAAGAAGTTTTGTGTTCAGGAAAAAAAAATGCTCGTTTTGATTTTATTTAAAAAGCTGACATAATTCAATGGAACTGATGCATGATTTTAATTTTTATTTAGATCTACTGTTGCTCCTTTTATACCTTTATTCTTTTCAGGATTTTGTGGTAGACTACTTTACATATCGACTACAACTTGCTGGCTTTGAATGGTCTGACCGCGCTCCACTACCTGCAGAAAATTTGGTGGAGTATGGTGCAATGAGAAAAATGGCTTTAATATTTGAAAAGAAATACGGGAAGGAAATGAAAAAGATGGTCGAAGAGATTTCCAACGAGAAAAAATTAACTTTTGAACGCTACATTGAAGTATGTGTTACTCATTTGTATCTTTAATAGTTTGTGACTATCTTCTTTCTTTGCTTGTGATTTTAGCTTTTTTTTTTCTTGAGTCAAATTAAGTAGAATACTCTTCCTTTTGGACTGTAAGAAACTGTAGGTCTAACTTAACAAAAAGTTGTTTTGTTGAAGTGTTTGTTTGAATTACATTTTCTTACATGTATATGAAACCATTACTTTTCATGTCGTGCAAGAATTTTTTAACGCCGATGATGAATTTTCGAAACATTTATCGTACAGTCATGTAGTTGGTTTGATCTCCTTTGGTGGGCTTGTTGTTGTTGAGCTAGCCAAAAAAGGTGTTTCGTCTGAGATCGAATGTATAACTGTTCATACATCTAAGTGTTTGGAGGAACGTATCAAGCTGACTTGGGCGGAAGACTGCAGATCTTGGGTACTGGTTTTTGAAAAACTTTTGATACTAGTGTTTTTTTTCTATTTCTCATTAGAGTTAGAACTTTTTGGAAAGAAACAAGAACCAGTTTCATTTTAAAAACAATTCTTTCACTTTTTTGTTTAGGCAGAGTTTTTTGATTGTTCTATCGCAGCCATTTCGCACGAGATCCGGAAGAACCGATCTTTTTTTGGAACTGGTCTACAGAAATTTGGTAGTTTTATGCGCTCACTACTATGCCGTCCGTAATTTTTTATTTTTTCTGCTCAGTATGCTCTACGGTTTCTAATTTCACGGAAATTGCTTGAGTTTTTTGGAGAGTAAGTCTCATGGTCCAAAGAAGAAAGTTATTGCTGTCTGTGTAACAAAGGAAACACCTTATTTTGGTCGTTGTATCCCGCAGCAGAAATTTAAGACTTTGCTGAAGTCTTGAGCGAAGTTTCACATTCTTCATTTTTTCCCTTAGGATGCCGCGAATGCAAATGTAAAACAACTCCCTCTTATGTTAGTCTGACTTTTTGAAGACTTAAGGAAGCTTCTTTGATATTGTAAGTTGCTTGTTGGTATGGTCTTTCTTTTTTTCTGCTACTTTTTAGTTTTACTATCATAGTTCTATTCTTTATTGTGCAGTTTTGTGTAAATATGATTTCTTGTGCTTCTGGGTAGAATATCTATAATTATTGACTGTATTTACACGATATTTGGTTGGAGTCACGCTTGGTCTTGACTCTAATGTAGCTAGTTTTTATTTTGAGCATGAGACGTCTTTTTTATCTGCTTTACGTTTAATTATTTTAGTAGTTGCTTTAATATTGGTATCTCTCATTTTGCGGTGGTTTTAATACATTTTTACAATGCAGCTTTAATTTTGATCTTTATTCATATTTTCTATGAAACAAGCGTCTCTTTAACTTGGAGATAAACTTCAATT